TTGCCTCCAGAAGTTGTGAATGCCCCAACACTGGAAGTCTTTAAGAAGATGTTGGAAAGCCATTTGTCTGAAATGGTACGGGCTTTCCTGCCTAGGCAGGGGGTTGGACTAGAAGACCTCCAAGGTCCCTTCCAACTCTGCTATTGTATTACTATGGCTGCAGCATCATGGGATTATGTGATCACAATTTGAAACTTTTCTTGCTGGCTTCCAACAAAGTCAATGGGGGGGGAGTGTGATTCACTTAACAACTGCAATGATTTCCTTAACAACTGTGGTACAAAAAGTAAAATCGGGGATGACTGCTTTGTTTAGCAACAGAAATTCTGGTCACAATTGTGATTGTTAGTTGAGAACTATCTATAATTCCCAACCACCATGCTGGAAATTTTGGAACTTTTGATCTGATATAACAAAGGTTGGGGAAATAACAGCCTTTAATTATTTTTTAAAGTCATCTTGGAAAGCAAATGGAGCAAATCTGATATTCAAAAATGTTAAGGACTTCAGAACTACCTTCTCAATTGCTCTATACATTTTCTTATTTTCTTTAAAGATGCCTCTCATTGCAATGGCGAAATATGTGCCTCCTTAAAATAGTCACAATCAGATTCTTACCACGATGACATGATGGTTGTCCCATACAATCAAAAAGGTTACATTGTGTAAACACTAACTGGAATTGTCTTTACAGCTGTCAGATAAATGCTGATACCATTGCAATTTATAGACATATTTTAGTAGACATGTTGCAATTTATGTTTTTCAGCATTAACCATTTGACATGCTAATGAAAGCAATTTCCATATAATATTGGTGTAGATAATATGCACATTCCAGTAAATGAAAAATGAGAGAGGACAATTTGCATTCAATTTGGACTGAATAAATCATAATTAATTTTACATTTGAATCTAATGTCTTTGGGGTTTTATTACATTTAAGCATTCTCCATTCAGAATTTTCTCTATGAATTAAAAAGGAAAAAAGAAACACATGAAGAAACATGAAGAAAGGGGGGTTTGATTATTCACCAAGGACCGGGGTGACAGAGAATATCTCATCAGCCATTTTCCTGCACATAAGTTCCAGTTCAATATATTTGCAATCTAGGTTGACATGAATACAGGTAGTCTTTGGTTGCTTAGTGACCATTTGAAGTTATACTGGACCTCTCAAAAGCTATTTACCACCCAGTTCTGAAGTTCCAATGTCACCCCTTGCCCGTCAGGATTCCAAGCAACACCCCCAACGAAAGAAGACTCTGAGGCTTGAAGTTCCATTTTATTAGATATGTCATATTTCCACATCTGGGAAAACCTGAATCTGAAAGCTTCCAGGTTTTCCCCACTTAAATGAAAGTCTAAGTCCCTGCCCAGCACCCACATGTCCATCACTTGGCCCAATCAGGCACCNCTGGAAAGAAATTCCTTTCTTTCATCTTCCCTCTGTAACATCTGCTGCAGATGCTGTGACAACAGATGTTTCTTACTGGGATAACAGTTATAACCCTTGCCTGATGTGCAAAATATTCCTGACTCAAAACTCAGTAGAAATATTTTCTTTTACATTGCTATTTTCATTTCCTGAGCTACTGAATTCCTTTTTTTAATGAAAAAATGTTTCAGAAAAATATGTGACTCAAAGAAAGAAAAACATTAATTGAAAAAATACTGCTGGTTTCAAACCAGGGACATTTTATATGTAAGGCTTTAGAGTTACCATGGGGTCCCTGGTGCTCTCTGAGAATGGTGTGGGGTTTTTCTTTTTTCTTTTTGCAGATGTTTTATTATCAAAGTAGGTAGCATTTTACCTATCATAGTTTGGTAATGAACTGCAAGAAAACCACAAAATTCAGAGAGCACCAAGGATCTCCACAGTTCAACCTTGAATTACAAATATTCTCTTCTATTTGTACCATTTAGGCTATAGATGGCAGCCTTCAGCCCAAACTTTTTCTATTTACAAAGTCTAATTTTACATGTAAACATCCTTATCTTCTCCTTGGCATCTGATTTTCAAGTAATTTTTTTTAAAAAAATAGAAAAATAAGGGTCCTGCTAGCCATTTTAAATGTTAAGCCCAGGAAGTAGGTCAAGATGAGATTAATAGAAAGAGATTGGATTATACTATGTGGAAATTGCTTCAACAGACAAGCATGAAGGACTTTGATTGGATGCCCCACTGCGCAATGGAATTGGGATGATAAAACATGTTCTTTCAAGAAATGATTTTAAGGCATCTTTTAACATTGTCAATCACCTTGAGTATCTTATGGGCAGAATGGCGAATTAAAAATCATAAAAATAAATACAATAAAAATATGAAATAATGGCACTGTATTCCAGTTAAGAATCATTGTAGTTGGATTTACATACCAAATTATGTCTTCTGGCTTCCTGAATCCAGCGTATGTTATCATAATACTGCTGTTTCACAGATGGATTTGCTAGGCAAGAGACGATTACACAAAATGGTTCATAAAAGCAGTATCAAAAGACCACTGCCAGTTTACAAACAGGTTCTGAACTATGCACAAAACAATGCAGGAAACACCTGCCTTTAGGAGGAATCCAGTAATATTATACAAATTATCACAGGAGAAAGGAATAAAATATTTAGTTGTCTTTAGATTTATAGGTAACCTGCATTGTCTGGAGGCAAGAAAAGGATAGCACAGTTGTAATCAAGTTTGATATATTATTCAAGAGAAATGTAAAATGCACCTATGAATAAATGCTTGATAATGAGATATTTGAAGTATTTCAAACTTTCTACAAAATCTGAGTACACAAAATCCGAATCAGACTAGAAAAATTAATATGTCAACTTTTTAAAGAGAAATAACCAAAATATTTGATTCTTGCAGCGATTATACTGCATGACAAACTCTGCAAGAAAAATGTACTTTATGCAAGTATTTACCAGATATAAATAACACTAATATCTATTGCGGGTTTGGTGAAATATAACATAAATTATATAACAGGACAGCCTTTCAAAATAATTGGTCCTCACACTTATGACTGTTGCAGCACCTCCATGATCATGTGATCAAAATGTGGGCACTTGGCAATTTGCTTATATTTACAGAAAGAGTGCAGAGAAGAGCAACAAAGATGATTAGGGGACTGGAGACTAAAACATATGAAGAACGGTTGCAGGAACTGGGTATGTCTAGTTT